TTATTTTTGTTTCCTATGTTAACAGTTTCTTTTCTCACACTTCTCTCTTGTGGAACTCATTCCCGGTTCCATGTTTTTCAGTCAATTATAATGTCGAAAAATTTAAACGCAATGCCAGTCGCTATCTACTGTCCTGATAACGGCTTTCTCTTCACGCTCTTCAGTAATTCTTCGACAACTAGTAACCCCTTGTGATTTAGTGGCTTTACTCTCTTGCTTGGGGTGAAATTAAAAAAATAAAATAGTCTGTATGACGTCTATGGATCTGCGCATTCGAAAAATTTTAATAAAGAAAATGTGCTTTCACAGTTCAACTAGGCTCTGTTTTCCCCTTTAAGGAAAACATTTCCTTGTTCGTGTATTTTTCTCGAAAACCCATATCTGCTCAGCTTTGTATTATCCAAAACGTCAATAAAGCAATTCTTAAAGAATTAATGGATTTTTAATCCGAGATAAACAGACTTCTCATTCGGAGTTTAAGGACAGCACACTCTCTCATTCAGATATGTTTTATAATACGCCATACTATTTCCTTCAAAACCAAAATATCCTAATGGCCCCTATATATCCAACGAAAAAAGAATGTAACACTCAATAATTTCCCAAGAACTGGCACTTTGTGGAACGGATTTCCTGAAAGCAAAACGGTTTCAAAACAAGTCTAATCATTATCCTCCTTATCCTCATATTTACCACTTCTTTCATTCATATCACAGGTGTTGTTCATCATTATAATTTTAGCAGTAACTCTTTACCTTCAGTGTCTATCGTCTCTTGTATTAGGTGGATTTTAGAATAAAATATCTCAGGATAATAGCTATTGGAAAATATAGCTTTGTGTGTATGTAAAAACTTCTGACAAGTGTCAGGTACAATTGATTTTCTGTAAATGCGAATTTTATTATCTAACATAATTCCCTGGACGGTTTCAACATATATTTTTAAACAACAGGAAATTATTCAGTGGATTAAAATACCTTGGGCATGTTTTGTCATGGCACCAATAGAATGGAATTCAATTAAACTTGAAATAACAATTTCAAGGCAGAAATTCACTTACTTGTCAGGGCTTGTGTTACTTTAAAAAAAAAATGTACTACTCACTTTTAGACTAATGGATAGCGTTCAAAACATCGTACAACAAAAACGTAGTAAAATATTCATTAAGCTCATACACAAACACTCCACCGCGTCAAACACGCCCCACAAGATATTCAATAAAAAACACAGTAAAAATCAGCTATATTTACACCGAGAACATGACACAAATAAGAAAGCACAACAAGAAAACAACCCACTTGTAACTGCAGAACAAACAACGAATGTTCCTTAAAGAGCAATGACTTGATGAACAATGTAGTATACCATGCCACTGTAAAATCAGTAGATAACGAGGAAAAATATACATAGGAATAATTGAAGGACCCTGAAATCAAAGAAACTACGCATACAAAACGTTTTACAAATAGTAAATATGCGAGCAGCACAATGCTTCCGTAATATATCTAGGAGATTAAAACCAAAAACCAAATCCCACCATAATTTTTTTTTTTAAGCATTACGCCCCGAGCAAGGCGTGAAGCCACTAGGATGCAGGGGGTTGAAGAAGATTTGGAGCAAGAGCAGATAGGAGTGATAGAAGAAAGGATGAGGAGAGGGATAGTGGATGGATCAAGGTAACTGGAGATGTCAATTGACATTACATTTGAATAGTTGGAGATTATAGCTCTCAGGGAAACAGTAATTGGGAATGGTGTTCCATAGGCGAGAGGTGCGAGGTATGAAGCTATTGGAGTAGAAGAGACGGCTACATTTAAAAGTTTCTATAGTGTAAAGTTGGGAGCGGGATGCCAGCCTCGTAGGGCGCTTGAATTCACGGAGTCTGGGAACCAGTGAAAGCAGCTCTTCGGAGCAATTACCATGAAAGTATTTGTAGAAAAGACAGAGAGAGGTGACGGCGCATCTGTGAGAGAGCAACTGTAGACGAGATGCCAGATCAGGGCCAATTATATTACATATCCGTCTCTGGATCTTGTCAAGAACTCCGAGGTAAACAGAAGGTGACCCAGACCATATATGACAGCAATACTCCATGCAAGGGCGAATAGGTATATTTGAAGTATCGATTCCGGGGAGAAAAATTTCCTGACGCGGCACAGAGAGCCAACTTTCCTTGCGGTGGACGAAGCAAATGACTCAATGTATTTGTTCCATCTCAGGTCAGCAGTCAACGTGAGAACGAGCAGACGCAGGGAGTTGCTCTCAAGAAGTTGACTATCAGACATTCTAATGGGGGGCAGGGAAGGATCTCTATGGTGATTAATAGAGAGTAGTTTAGTCTTCGAGGCGTTAAAGTTGACCAGCCAATTCTTGCACCAATTAACAACCGATTGAAGGTCCATTTCAAGACGCACGACCAGGTTAGTTTTTTCAGCGACACTAGATTTGTTTTTGAGGCAGGAGTAAATTGTAGTGTCAACCGCGTAGATGCCAACTTGGGAATCTATGGCGTCAGCGTCAGGAAGGTCGTTGATGAAAATAAGGAATAGGGTGGGGCCAAGGATGGAGCCTTGGGGAACACCTGCGTTCGTGGGATAGGAACTGGAAGAGAATCCGTTGAGAACGACCTTCAATTCACGGTTTGATAGGAATGATTGTATTAGGTCAAACAATCGACCTGTAATACCATAACCCTGGAGCTTGCGAAGAAGGCCGGCATGCCCAACCCTATCAAACGCTTTGGAGATGTCTAGGGCCACGGCACGAGCCTTACCGTTATTTTGAAGGGCTTGGTAGACGATTTCAGTGATGGCCGTAAGCACATCAGCTGTAGATCCGGCGTAGCGGAAACCATATTGCTTGTCTGAGAGCAGATCATGGGATTTAAGGTGGTTAACCACTTCGGCATTGACTAGGGCTTCGAAGACTTTGACAAAAAGGGGAAGGAGACTAATAGGACGGTAATTAGAGGGGTCAGAGGGGTCCCCAGAGTTTTTAAAGACAGGAACAATGGATGAAGACTTCCAGCAGTCAGGAAAACAGGATTCCTTGAGGCAGTAATTATATAGTTTAGAGGGCGGGCGCAAGCTCAGGCGCGCATTTCTTCAAGACAATGGCTGGTATGCCATCTCCACCACTAGCCTTGTGAGGGCCTAAATTGGAGATAATGCCCAATACCAATGACGGGGTTATGCGTAACCCGCTCAATAGGGCCTCAGTTCTTAGAGGGAAGTCTGCTATGGGTACACCGGAGGAGTCGAGCTTTAAATTAAATGAGAATTTCCGAGCAAAGCATTCAGCTTTGTCGGTAGAGGAGGACAGGACCTCGAACTGGTTGAACAAAGGAGATATGGAGGGTTTTCTATTGCTGAGAACGTTCTTGCAGAGCCGCCAATAATCTTTGGAGCCAAATTTGCGAGATGCAATACGCTTCTTCATCCGAGGAGCAAATATTGACTTAGCTTCGTTGAGGACACGCTTACACTCGTTACGGGCGGAGGCAAAGAGACGTCTATTGCAGTCCGACATGTCGCTACAATAGAAGTGAAAGAAGTGGTTCCTATGGGCAATGGCGGCTGAGCAATCAGCGGAGAACCAAGGGGAGGAGTGCGACTTGACCTTAAATTTCCTTGAGGGGATGAAAGCGTCGATTCCAGCTTTAACTCAGGATGAGACCTCAGAAGCACATTCTTGGACAGGGAGTGTAAAGACAACATATGGGAAATAAGAAAAACAGTATCTGCTTACAGCAATAAATCACACAAGTGCAAACGCTAGAAGATAAAAAAATCACCTTCAGGAAAAACACAAGCTACTAAATGAACGATCAGAACTCATCTCAAAATGCAAACACGAAAACGAATTTTTAGTATGTTGCATAACAATCGAAAATTAAAATCAAACAAGAATAATAAATAAAAAATAACTACATAAACAAAAATAAGTAAAATAAATTAATTCAAACCAATAAATAAGTATATAAATTAGGTAAATAACAAATTAATAAACCACGATCGCACCTGGGAACATAACAAAAAACAACAATAAAATAATCAATAATAAACATAAAACGTTATCTAACGACACAATAAAAAGCCATAAAACTGCTCCCAGATCCTCAGTTATTTCCACCCAATACCCATTAGAATAATTTGAAACGTTACGCTCACCAAAACAACCGTTAGGACAATACAATAGACTACCCACAATGCATCACTGACTTGTATATATAAATAGTCGAACAAAAACACAACACACATGGCCTGAAAATTGCATATAAGCTTGAAACAGAATGTCGTCGCTGGATGTTGACTTCAATGTTCACTTTTATATTTACATACGCTCTATCCCTGATACTGAATACTCTAATCCATAAATATAACATACCTTAAAATTATATTTTATCATATATATATATATATATATATATATAGTGGTGGGGAACAAATATACGTAGTCATACAAAATTTTAATTTATTGTATTTCCAACTAATGGATGAGCATATTTTTCACAGATTCATAATGACTGAATATGCATAGAAAACAGTCGAAACTTGTAGGCGGTGTATCACTTGATTTTCGAAAGTCCATTGCTTACGACTCTATCACATTGAAACAGCATTTTTCGTACGACCATGGATATTAAGTAACGACGAGCCTGGTCAGTCCCTAGATAGGTGACCACTTGAACAATACCAGGTGATTTAATCTTTGTTGTGCGGGTGGTGGAATGAATAACGCCTCGGAATTGGAACTCGGAAAGCCGAGTTCCAGTTCCAATCGTGTTCGCGATATTCACTTACGTGCAAATACACGTGGGCAAAGTGTGCATTCACTCTTCTCCTCTCAGACATCGGTTGATAATTAGAACTTTTATCAATAATAAGTATTATTATCTGCCTCAAATTATTACAATCTAAAAATATTTTCTGGCTTTAAATAACCTGCAAAAGGTTGATAAGCCATAAAAATACAAATCAGTCAAACAATCCAAAGACCACATGATATTTATTACTTTTGGAATATTATATATCTATTTATCTATGTTCATATCTTTGTATTTCACTGTTTTCATCTATCTATCTATCTATCTATCTATCTATCTATCTATCTATGTTTCATTGAAAATGCTAATGGTTAATGACATGTGTGGTACGAAGGAATGAGTAGGTGGTAAGACGTAAAAGTTATGAGGATAATAAGAAAGCACAACAAGAAAGTGATTTTGAAACCTGTCGAGATTGGAAAGTGAAGACTGTTCAGCGTAAGACCAGACATGGCAGGAACATCTATCTATCTATCTATCTATCTATCTATCTATCTATCTATCTTTTGTTTCACTGTTTCTATCTATTTCATGTGGACTTTACATTCTCGTCTGCGATATTTGAAAGACTGCTGATCCTCACTCGGGTAGTTTTGTATATATTTACCAATCCATCGGTTTTGCTTGCGTGCACACATATCAGTCGCAGTTAGTGTGACGGGCGTTCACCTGTTCAGGTTGGCTGTAAAGTAAGTTTAATTGTGCATCTCTACTTCCGGTTATCAGGGAGTCTCAAACCTGCACCTGATTTCTCTGAAGAACAATAAGTGCACAGTTTATTCTGCACGATCTGAAGTGGCACACATACACACGCACACTCAGCTATATATATATATATATATATATATATATATATATATATTATAAATTAATTGATTTAATATATGTTTTTTCGCTACACATTTCTAACCATGTTTCAAAAATGGACGCTAAAAGCTTCGAATTTAATTTTGTAATTAAATTAAAGTCATTAGTTTCATTTCATCCTCAAGCGAATTTTGGAGTAACTTTTAAAATTACTGGGTTTAAAGGCACAGCAAAAAATCATAATTCTCTATGATTTTTTGCTGTGCATTTGCTTCTTTAATTTATTTAAAAAATTAAATTCGAAGCTATTAGCTTCCATTTGTGAAACATGGTTAGAACTGTGTAGCGAAAAAAACATATTTTACATCAATTAATTTATAATAGTAATGCTCTGTAAATGTAAATTTACATTGAGCACTATTTTGTGAAAATAAAAATATCAATAAGAACACCGGATTATATATCTTACTGTTCTTTCTTTTTATTTTATATATATATATATATATATATATATATATATATATATATATATAGAACTGGATTAAAAAGAACCAACAAGTTCTGTTTATTTAATTTTTTAAGTATTTTCCAATTTTCGGATTAGTTGTTGAGTATGTCGTTCCAAGTTGTGGATAAGCTCTCCGAAGTTCAAATATTTTCGACAATCGCAATCATTATCAAGAACCACTGTGATGTCTGTGTGGTAGTTAGAATTCCTTTGTGTAATCCTGGTATTCTTTGGGAATGAAATGGTCTATGGTGACGTCATGTATCAATCTCCTTTATGTGTCATATATATATATATATATATATATATATATATATATATATTAGCAGTCAAATCCACTAACACAAATATGGCCAAATGACCAAGCATCAGATTTATGACACCTTTTGGGTGGAGCTGATAACTTTTCATCTCCCTTCGTATGCTGGTTCAGAATTATTCGATTTACTATGCAAGAATAACCTCATTATTCCCCGTACCTAGGGAGTATGGAAATTGTCTGATTTCGAAAGGCGCCATAATATTGGTCAGTCCGAGTTATACTTGAGTAGAAAGTCACTTCTTAAACCAATCATCATTCAACAGAGAAAGTAGTAGGTAATTGAGATAGCGGACGGACCGTTGTAGTTTGGGCTCCAATGAGCGTTTATTTGCTCAATTTTTAAACAACGAACGACTGTGGATCAGATAATTGCCTGTTTAATAATTTTGTTTGAATATTCTGCAGGCTACCATTATGACGGATATTCGGTTATGCTGTAGAACTGGAACAATAATCATTCAAACCATTTGGAACTTATTGGAATTATCTGTTGAAAAAGATAAATATTCGTTGCATCGGGGGAATTGTTTCAGAGTTCACTGTTGATTATTTTGTCAGAAACAACAGCCATTCACGAAAAATGAAAATTCATACAATACAACAAAAAGATGGCACGTTAATAAAAGAATTAAGCGCTTCGTATGAATAAATCAGTCTGTTGAAATGAATTCTAATGAAGCTGTATCCGCTATTTTGGATTATGAAATAAAGAATACTGTCTGGAAGCTCTTTTACAAAATAAAATACTTTATATTTAAAAATGCAGTCTTCTTGGATATCCAACTTTCAATGTGTGAAAGGGTTGCACTCAACGAGACTTCTTGACTTGTACATTTATCAGGACTAATATCCACCTCATGCAGAACATATATATATATATATATATATATATATATATATATATATATATACGATACACCTCAAGTGGGACTCATATATACTATCTATCTTTCTCAAGAGGAACATGTATACGATCTACCTCAAGTGGAACTCAAATATGCGCTCCAGCTCAAGTGGAACTCATATATGCGCTCCAGCTCAAGTGGAACTCATATATGCGCTCCAGCTCAAGTGGAACTCAAATATGCGCTCCAGCTCAAGTGGAACTCATATATGCGCTCCAGCTCAAGTGGAACTCAAATATGCGCTCCAGCTCAAGTGGAACTCATATATGCGCTCCAGCTCAAGTGGAACTCAAATATGCGCTCCAGCTCAAGTGGAACTCATATATGCGCTCCAGCTCAAGTGGAACTCAAATATGCGCTCCAGCTCAAGTGGAACTCATATGCGCTCCAGCTCAAGTGGAACTCTCATATGCGCTCCAGCTCAAGTGGAACTCAAATATGCGCTCCAGCTCAAGTGGAACTCATATATGCGCTCCAGCTCAAGTGGAACTCATATATGCGCTCCAGCTCAAGTGGAACTCAAATATGCGCTCCAGCTCAAGTGGAACTCAAATATGCGCTCCAGCTCAAGTGGAACTCATATATGCGCTCCAGCTCAAGTGGAACTCAAATATGCGCTCCAGCTCAAGTGGAACTCATATATGCGCTCCAGCTCAAGTGGAACTCAAATATGCGCTCCAGCTCAAGTGGAACTCATATATGCGCTCCAGCTCAAGTGGAACTCATATATGCGCTCCAGCTCAAGTGGAACTCAAATATGCGCTCCAGCTCAAGTGGAACTCAAATATGCGCTCCAGCTCAAGTGGAACTCATATATGCGCTCCAGCTCAAGTGGAACTCAAATATGCGCTCCAGCTCAAGTGGAACTCAAATGCGCTCCAGCTATGCGCTCCAGCTCAAGTGGAACTCAAATATGCGCTCCAGCTCAAGTGGAACTCATATATGCGCTCCAGCTCAAGTGGAACTCAGATATGCGCTCCAGCTCAAGTGGAACTCATATATACCATCTACCGCATGTGGAACTCGTATATACAATATACCTCAATTGAAACATGTATAAGATTTACCTCGTGGAACTCATATATACAATCTACCTCAAGTGAAACATATAAACGATTCGCCTCTAATGGAACTCATATATACGATCCACCTCTGGAAAAATGGACGGTTCTTTCTGCCGCTTCAGAAAGTACCTTACTCCTTCTGACATGCTCTATCATTAGAAAAAACAACCCAGACAACAATGCACTATCCCTGATATATTTAGGCTGGCGCTGTACAATCTTGACAGATTTCAAAAGCGTTTACGCGACACAAAATTCCTTTGTGAGAGATGAAACATCACAAGGTTATCGCAATTTCCTTTTTCAAACGTTCAGTTGATCTCCATTCTTTAGTTCCAGTAGTTCAGAGCTTTAAAGTTAGGACCCGCCCTGCCACTTACATAGTGTTGAATCATCCTCACTTATTTCCTATTGCATTGATAATAAAGAAATTAAACAGCTTCTTCTCAAGAAATGTTTACTTTGTGGATGAGACTCCGGTGAGGATGTTTAAAAAGAAAAGGTAAAACAGTTCGTAAAAGAAACTCTCAAGATGTATGTGTCAATACTACTAAGAAAAATTTTGCGCGCAGCCTGAAGTGAAAATTACATTACTCAAGCAAAAAAAATCTCATGATGAACATCCAAAAACTGTCAATTAGTCAGTGAGGTTGCCCCAAATATACACTGGGTAGAAGAACACTAATCTGATTTCGCTTTTGTGTTCAGAGAAAGCAGAAGAATGAAAGTGCCAAAATGTACGGTGAAGTCTTTGGGAAAGGGAGATAACTTAGAAAATACTTTTACGTATATTAATTCACAAGGGAAATTAAGACGCGGGAATCAGCGAAATGTCCTGAGTTTAAAGCGATCTGTCATAAGTGATTCTGCACTGGTTAAATATAATTTGGGGGCGCAATCTCTCTCTCTCTCTCTCTCTCTCTCTCACACAAACACACACACACATATACGCATGTATGTGTGTACATGCGCAAAATCATTCACAGATACGTAAATTTTACATCCACATACATATATGTACATAAATAAATATGTACATATTGATATACAACATATACACATAGATACATCTATACTTATATAAATATAAACATATATAGATAAAAACACGAACAAATATATATATATATATATATATATATATATATGTGCGTGTGTCTATGTGTTTTATCTGTGTATTTTCATCTCTATTTCTCTCTATATATGTGTGTGTTATAGTGTATACGTGTATATCAATATATACGAATTTACTTATGTGCATAAATGTATGTGGATGTAAAATTTACCTATTTGTGAATATACATGCATATGCATACATATACGCACACAGATATCGATATAAATATATATACATACATATATATATATATATATATATATATATATATATATATATATATATATATGTGATGGTGTATGTATGTTAAGATGAGAGTCGAGTTCGAATTCCAAACGGTTTATTAAGTTTGCTTACGCGAATTTATCATTGGTAAAGGTATTAATCCATCTTCCCTCCGATCAGGTTTGGGTTAATTAGTAGGGCAGACTAGGTTCTTTAACCTTAGTTAGCAACCAGTCTAGGAGAAGGAAAACTATGAATTCAAAGCAAGGGAAAGGTCATTTGGAGACCTTATGATACACTATGTGGTTCTCTGTATTCGCTGCTTTCAAAAAGTGTGGTCGGTTCTACGCCAGCCTTCACTACTTTTAATCAAATCATATGTACGGGGCAATCTGAACTGTTGGACCCTCATCTCTGGAAGACGATTGTAAAGAGAATTAATTACACACCCATAGACACCCAGGATACTTGTCATCGCCTCCATCTTGCCAATGTCTTCAAAACGACTTTCCCTGAAGTTTTCCTTCAGCTTATGGAAAAAAAAAAGAAAAGAAAAAAAAAAAAACTAGGTCTGGACTGTAGGGAGAATGACGGACATTTTTGATGACCATCTCTGTCAACACAAAACATTATTTCTTAGCAATCTTCCAAATTGTCTTCACGCCCAGACTGTATTCTGTAAACGAGTCAGCAGTAACAGAGAGTGTTTAGTAGAATTTGTTCAAAGACCTGTTTCAGACATCTCCCTCAAGCTTGAATAAAAAATCGACGAGATATATGCTATCATTTTAATATAATGATATACAAAAATTACAATAATCTATGATAGTTATAATTGTTACTATTAAAAAAGTCACAACACTTCTAAAATACACCTCGTGTATATACAGTGCTGTGCAAATTTAAATGAACCTCCGAAAATACTATTAAAAAATTATCTATTTTTTCAGACAATCAACAGATCTTAATTTAAAAAAAATATATATTCATTAAGAAAAACCTTTATTAAACAAATTACAACAACTTTCAAATTTTTTTTATCAAGCTGGAAAAAATTATTAATTAAAAATTAAAAATAAAATTTCTCTAATAAATCTTTAATAAAAATGAAATATGTTAGATTGATAAACATTTCATATTTGATTTTTATCATATGCTGTCGGCTTCAGATCAATATTTGATCCTCTTACAATCACCGGAAGTAAGCTGTGGTGGCGACGAACGGTCAAGCAGCAGTCATTGGGTAAGTTAATTAAAAGCTGGTGGACTTTGGTTTGCAAGTTCATTGCTCCATGCACATATTTTAGTTATATCTAGAATGTATACCAAAATATACAGTCATAAAGATGAAGAAATGTGTATGTAAAATGCATCTGTAAAATATTGTGAATTGTCACACTCAGGGTGGATATTTATAAAGTCTCTAAGCCCTAACTATACACCAGGGCCTTCGCATCACACGCGCTAAACGATTCTAAACTCTCCTAATGCCATCTGTTTATACATACAAAAACAGAAGGACATTTGGGGCCCAATCCAATATATGTAAATCCTTGTAAAAGAATTAAACTCGATATCGATGCCCTTCACAAAGTCGTCATTTAAAAAAAAAAAACATTAAAGAGATAAATAAATAAATAAATAAACCAAAATATTTCCGTCTGTTAGAATAACCTCCAAAATAAACTGTTGATCAATATAGAGACTGGGTGCGATTTGATTGCCTATTCATAGCCATATAGTAGCAATCGATCATGATTTAGTACCATATGTATGTATGTATGTATGTATATAGCTGGTTACTCGCATTCGAGGATACCTGTCTACAAGGGCGGATATCCAATCCCTATTGCAGACGCTTGCTCAGGCGCATTTGTGTTTATTCAACACCCACAGTGCCCACCTGTTGTTTATACTGCAACTATGCTGAACAGACCTTAGTTACTGTTTCTGGGACAGTCCGTGTTATCTAGCGTGATCAATAATTTGAACAAGGCCAGCACACTCAAGCCCTCGGCCACGATGACTTGTGACTTCGTGCTAGCACAGCTATCGATGGCAACCACGGGCTCCGTATATTCTTGTGTATAATATGAGAAATACTGAACGAAAATTAAACACAAAAAGTGGGTTAGTATTATACACAAGTACAAGTTTTTAGAAATTTTTAATTAAAAAGAAAACTAGATTGCAAATACACTCCGTACAACAGATCATAAGTCAGAAAGTCGGCAGGTGTTGATAACAATTGTTTACAAAAGTTATTTGATATGTCGGCAATATTTGTTTGTTTTTGGAAATCAGCGAAATAAATTAAAAAGAAAATAATCAAGGAAATCTATCAGGTTTAATAACATTAACGTTACAACTAAGGCCTAATTATTGTATAAATGATGTACTTTTATTGAATTTTCCGCTTTAAAAATGGGAGCGATAATTCCCATACCGTGAGCTTTCATATTGCTCTTTTTGTTGACGCAAAGAATCCAGTGTGAAAACTTCAAACTTTTGAAAAAATAAAACAATACAAAATAGATACGAAAACAACACCGATATAACTATATCTATAAATACTGTCCACTGGTACTTGTAATTTTAAATCGCAAAATATTACGATGGTTTATGTTGATACAACATTGAGATTTTAATGGATAGGTACAACTTAAAAAAACAAACAAACAAACAAAAAACTTACATATTACATATATTATACTCAAGGATGTCATTTATTTCCTGTATATAGCTTCAGAAACACGTGGTCATATTTTTTTTAATCAAACTTCACCCCTTAAAGCCACTAAGAAACAAGGTTTAATGGGTGTGGAAGAATTAAAAAAACAGAAACATTACTAAGGATCGAGGTACAGATAAAGAGCAATCGTGGGGGGGGGCAGTATATAACGATTGACATTGCATTTAAATTGTTGAAGACTAAAGTTGTCTGGAAAGCATGAATCCGGAAGCGAGTTTCACAAGCAAGAACTGCGAGTGAAGAAACTGTTAGCATATTACTTACGGTTACATCGAACCAGAACTGTAGATCGATGAGACATCATAAGATCTTTGTTCCATAGTAAAAAAGCTTTTCCCCCCAAAAATTACCAATTAGTATTTATAACAAAAGTGAAAGGGAAACAATTTTACGGCGATCGGAAAGTGACTAAACTCGAGATGCAAGATCAGAACTAATAATATTGCTGATTCTTCTTTGGATTTTATCAAGGATCTCTAGATATATAGCAGGAGTACCGGGCCATATGTGACAGCAATATTCTAAGTATAGACAAATGGTAGACTGATAGATATGTAAAATTCTGAAGAGATAAATTGTCTAGCACGACACAGTGAACCAACTTTCTTAGCAGCAGACCTAGCAAAGGATTCAATATAGTCTTTCCCCTTCATGTCGGCTGAAAACATTATACTCAAGACGTAATATATCATTGTTAATCTACTGCCTTCTGCATTGACCATTGTCGTACGTAAACTATTGTTTATTACCTATTATAATATACTAGCAGCATGGCCCGGCGTTGCCCGTGCTTGATTAAAAAATCGTACGACTCATACAGCAATCGCTATCACTATTATTTTTGCCCTACCTTGCCTTTAAAGGAGTGACCTTAGCCGTGCTGATGTTGCT